TAGTGTTAAACTCAAGGAGCTCAATCTATTTAGCTTAACAAAGAGAAGGTTAAGGGGTGATGTGATGAGGTGTATAGATCGCAGGCCCTGGTTCTCATGGGAGACTTTAATCACCCTGATATCTGCTGGGAGAGCAATACAGCGGTGCACAGACAATCCAGGAAGTTTTTGGAAAGTGTAGGGGACAATTTCCTGGTGCAAGTTTTGCAGGAACCAACTAGAGGCAGAGCTTTTCTAGACCTGCTGTTCACAAACCGGGAAGAATTAGTAGGGGAAGCAAAAGTGGATGGGAACCTGGGAAGCAGTGACCATGAGATGGTCGAGTTCAGGATTCTGACGCAAGGAAGAAAGGAGAGCAGCAGAATACGGACCCTGGACTTCAGAAAAGCAGATTTTGACTCCCTCAGGGAACTGATGGGCAGGATCCCCTGGGAGAATAACATGAGGGGGAAAGGAGTCCAGGAGAGCTGGCTGTATTTTAAAGAATCCTTATTGAGGTTGCAGGAAAAAACCATCCCGATGTGTAGAAAGAATAGTAAATATGGCAGGCGACCAGCTTGGCTAAACAGTGAAATCCTTGCTGATCTTAAACGCAAAAAAGAAGCTTACAAGAAGTGGAAGATTGGACAAATGACCAGGGAGGAGTATAAAAATATTGCTCAGGCATGCAGGAGTGAAATCAGGAAGGCCAAATCACACTTGGAGTTGCAGCTAGCAAGAGATGTTAAGAGTAACAAGAAGGGTTTCTTCAGGTATGTTAGCAACAAGAAGAAAGTCAAGGAAAGTGTGGGCCCCTTACTGAATGAGGGAGGCAACCTAGTGACAGAGGATGTGAAAAAAGCTAATGTACTCAATGTTTTTTTTGCCTCTGTCTTCATGAACAAGGTCAGCTCCCAGACTGCTGCACTGGGCAGCACAGTATGGGGAGAAGGTGACCAGACCTCTGTGGAGAAAGAAATGGTTCGGGACTATTTAGAAAAACTGGACGCGCACAAGTCCCTGGGGCCGGATGCGCTGCATCCGAGGGTGCTAAAGGAGTTGGCGGATGTGATTGCAGAGCCATTAGCCATTATCTTTGAAAACGCCTGGCGATCGGGGGAGGTCCTGGATGACTGGAAAAAGGCTAATATAGTTCCCATCTTTAAAAAAGGGAAGAAGGAGGATCTGGGGAACTACAGGCCAGTCAGCCTCACCTCAGTCCCTGCAAAAATCATGGAGCAGGTCCTCAAGGAATCAATTCTGAAGCACTTAGAGGAGAGGAAAGTGATCAGGAACAGTCAGCATGGATTCACCAAGGGCAAGTCATGCCTGACTAACCTAATTGCCTTCTATGATGAGATAACTGGCTCTGTGGATGAGGGGAAAGCAGTGGATGTGTTATTCCTTGACTTTAGCAAAGCTTTTGATACTGTCTCCCACAGTATTCTTGCCAGCAAATTAAAGAAGTATGGGCTGGATGAATGGACTATAAGGTGGATAGAAAGCTGGCTAGATCGTCAGGCTCAACAGGTAGTGATCAACGGCTCCATGTCTAGTTGGCAGCCGGTTTCAAGTGGAGTGCCCCAAGGGTCGGTCCTGGGACCGGTTTTGTTCAATATCTTCATTAATGATCTAGAGGATGGCGTGGACTGCACTCTCAGCAAGTTGACACTAAACTGGGAGGAGTGGTAGATATGCTGGAGGGTAGGGATTGGATACAGAGTGACCTAGACAAATTAGAGGATTGGGCCAAAAGAAACCTGATGAGGTTCAACAAGGACAAGTGCAGAGTCCTGCACTTAGGACGGAAGAATCCCATTCACTGTTACAGACTAGGGACCGAGTGGCTAGGTAGCAGTTCTGCAGAAAAGGACCTAGAGGTTACAGTGGACGAGAAGCTGGATATGAGTCAACAGTGTGCCCTTGTTGCCAAGAAGGCTAACGGCATTTGGGGCTGTATAAGTAGGGGCATTGCCAGCAGATCGAGGGATGTGATTGTTCCCCTCTATTTGACATTGGTGAGGCCTCACTTGTAGTACTGTGTCCAGTTTTGGGCCCCCAAAAGAAGGATGTGGAAAAATTGGAAAGAGTCCAGCAGAGGGCAACAAAAATGATTAGGGAGCTGGAGCACATGACTTATGAGGAGAGGCTGAGGGAACTGGGATTATTTAGTCTGCAGAAGAGAAGAATGAGGGGTGATTTGATAGCTGCTTTCAACTACCTGAAAGGGAGTTCCAAAGAGGATGGATCTAGACTGTTCTCAGTGGTACCAGATGACAGAACAAGAAGTAATGGTCTCAAGTTGCAGTGGGGGAGGTTTAGGTTGGATATTAGGAAAAACTTTTTCACTAGGAGGGTGGTGAAGCACTGGAATGGGTTACCTAGGGAGGTGGTGGAATCTCCTTCCTTAGAGGTTTTTAAGGTCAGGCTTGACAAAGCCCTGGCTGGGATGATTTAGTTGGGATTAGGTCCTGTTTTGAGCAAGGGGTTGGACTAGATGACCTCCTGAGGTCCCTTCCAGCCCTGATATTCTATGATTCTATGACCCACACAAGGATGAGGAACGTGCAAGAGAGGCCCTGGGGACAAGAATAGTCCCACCCCTCTGGCCCTGTCAATCATGCATGAGGCCACTAAAAGGGAGGGAACTGCAGTTAGTGGGGAAAGATGAACATGACTGCGCTAAGCAGCAGACTGCAGGAGTGACCCCTGAAGCCTCAGAGGGAACCCCTAGCCAGAAGACCATCACCCCAGCCCAGACTCCCAGGGTAATAACCATTTAACCCCACAGCAATGGTTTTGCTGTTGTATTTCTTCCATGGCTTTCCCTGGGGCCTCCATGATTACTGCTAGCACTGGGATTACACATTCTCTTTCTGGAAATTCCACTTTTAGTTCTTTTTCTTACTTGACTATTGAATTTGATTAATAACTTTTTATAATTTAATATTTTGACTTGTAAACAAAATATAAATTGCTCCATTGGACTATTTAATCAGTTTGTATGATACATACACAAAAAGCAATTTATAGTTGAGACAAGTTTATTACAGCTCCCCATGGCTAGATCAGAGAAACTCTCCTTCTCATAAAAGGGTGCTAAATTAATAATCCAATAGACTAAATCTTTAGTGCAGAGAGAGCATGGACACTGGCAGGGCAAGCTTCTCAATAATACTCCACTGATAAGTCTCAAGTGTGTTCTGAATGGATCACTTCTAGAGCTGAGAAGATAGTTCATTCTCGGGTATTCAAATCAGGGCTGGCCAGAAAATGTCAATTCTGTTTCACAAAAATGTTCAGGTTTCAAAAATTATTTCCATTCCAATGCAGAATGAAAATGAAACTTTTTGAAATTCTTTGTGAAAAAACACAGGAGAGTGAGACACTCATCCCAGAATAGCCAGTCGCCTGGTGGTTAGGGCGCTCATCTGGGAATTGGGAAACTCAGGTTCAGTCCCTGCTCCAAATCAGACCATGCTAGGACTTGAACCCTGGTCTTCCATATGCAAGAGAAATACCCTGACCACCAAGTGACTGGCTATTCTGGGGTAAGTCTCATGCATTCATATTTTGGTGTCAATGAACCAGCATTTGGCAATGGAAAAATACTTCACTGAAAAATTTCAACCAGCTCTAACTGAAATGTCTGAGACGGTCAACAAAGGTGACATTTATATCAGTTATTATGGTGTCTTTTGTGTATATAGAATCTGAACTGAGTCTGCCAACGTGTGCAGTGTACTTGTAGCCAAGTAGGTCCCAGGATACTAGATAGACAAGGTGGGTGAGGTAATATCTTTTACTGGACCAACTTCCGTTGGTGAGAGAGACAAGCTATCGAGCCACACAGAGATTTTCTTCAGGTCTCTGTGTGGCACGGAAGTCTGTCTTTCCCACCAACTTGCTGGTTCAATAAAAGGTATTACCTCACCTTGTCTCTCTGCTGACATATGTCAGGCTAATGAACAGCCCTTGGATGGTAATGATTTTGATACTGCAAGGGTGTTGAATGCCTTTCTCAGTGGGAGTTTTACCTAATTAAGCACTGAGTAAAATCTGACCAAGGATTTCAGTATTTGACTCATCTGTTTCTTCACCTTTCCTCTGTATGCTTTGAGGTGCTTTGAATAGGGAAGGAGCAGTCCTTGTGTTCCACTGAATGCAGGGACTACCATTGTGACTTAGCTAGATGTAGACTATGCAAGAAATGAGGGAAGGCTCCTTATTCCTTTCCTTCCAATTGTGTACCTGTGTAAGGATGAGGTGGAGAATCTGGCACTCTATTTGCTATATAAGCCTGATTTCTTATAGATTGGATAATGCATGCATCTTAGTATTATTATTATTTATTTGTATTGCAGAAGCTCTAGCATCATTGTGCAGGCAAGAAACACATAACAAAAAGATGTTCCCTGCCCCCAAAGAATTTACAGTCTAGGTAGAAGATGAGAGTCCACAGGTGGAAACAACAGACGGGGGGGGAGGAATCACAAAGTAACAATGAAACAGTTATGGTCTACAAGATACACAGCAGTCACATCACACCTGCTGGTTAGCCATTATTAAGTAGGGATTCGTAGATTTAAGGCCAGAAGGGACCATTGTGTTCATCTAATCTGACCCCCTCTATAATATAGGCCACAGAACTTCCCCAAAACAATTCCTAGGACATATTTTTTGGAAAAAACATCTAATCTTGATTTAAAAATTAAACAGTGAGGGAGAATCCACCATGACCCTTGGTAGATTGTTCCAATGGTTAATTACCCTCATTGTTTAAAATATACATATTATTTCCAGTCTGAATTTGTCTAGCTTCAACGTCCAGTATTTTATAGATATCAGTGGAGAGGTTGAAAGAAAGATTTGAAGGAGAACAATGTAGTGGCCTTGCAGTTCTTCCTAATTATGGCAGAAAGTATGAAGTTGCTTGCTGGAAAACTACTATGACTGACACGTTAATACCATTTGCTGTTTTTGCTGATGCAAATGAAGCATGGCTTTTTTTCGTGTTTCAGATTCTGGAAGGATTCCTAAAGGCTCTTTAATCTCCATCATTTTAGGAGTTACTATGGTCAGTGGTTTGGCAGTATTAAGCTGGATAGTAATTTGCCAGTGGTAAGTTTTACTTTTTTTTTTCATCTGTTTTATCTAGAAAAGCAGTCATATTTTTCTTCCCTCTTGAAACTTTCCTTACTTCAGTCTTTTTCTTTCTATATAGTCAGCAGGTGACAGGAAGTTATCTATTTGTGATCCTCTGTAGAGTGTAATTCTGACTAATGTAACCATTAGATATTCAAGTCTCTTTATTATATTTTTGTAATGAAAATATGAATAGGCATTATCCCACCTTTGGGTGCTGCAAAGAACATCAAATGGAAGTTCAATGATACCTAAGATTTTTCAGCTAACTAATTTATTTCAATTGAAATACTATCTCATTAGAGATAAAAGTGCTCTGAAAGATGGGGGAAAATAAAGGGTGTATTTGCAAGTGAAATACTTTTTACAAGAAAACCACTTGCTGCTGCTTTCACTTCTGTGCCTGTGAGGGCATTGACTAAGTTTAAGAGATTGATTCTGTAGATGACCTTTTAAGATCCTGGGTTCATAAACAGAATCCTGCTCTCTGGGGGAATGAGGCTGTTGGAACCTATTGGCAAGATTCGGAGGAATAAAAGTAGTAACACGCATCTTTAGGGCCCTGAGCCTGCTGCCACTGAAATAGTGGTAACATTCTCCTTGATGTCAATGGTAAATGTCACAAACATTGTCTGATTACTCTTTCTAAAATCTCTGTGAAGTACACATTATCATCCAGATTTTCCAAATGGGAAACTGAAATACTAAAGGCCTGATTTTTAAAGCTGTCCTCCTTGCATAAAATTGTGCCCACATTTAATTGTGGATTTAAATGCTAGCATTTAGACATAGCTCAGTTAGGAACACAATTTATCCTGCCAAAATCCCTTTTTTCAGTTGCTTTCAGGGAAACAGTACTTTTTTTGCACACTCACTTGCATCCTACTTTGTGTTTATTGTGCATTCTTTTAAAGTGTTGAATGGTACACCATTGCTAGAGACTTGTATTTGTCACAGTACATTTTGCACAAATTTTGGAGCTCAGGCTTAGGACCCTTTGAAAGCCATTCAATCTGAAAAAACTATCAGTGGCCACTCATGGCTTTAATTGGCTTTCATTTTTAATCTGGGCTTTAGGGCAAGGACAGTCTGCTGTAATCGTGTTACCTTTCTGTGTCAAATGCACCTAGAGCCTATATAAGACATTTCTTTAAATACTGCTATAAATCAAAGGAAGAAATAGAATGAACTTTCCTTACTGCAGTGCAATAGGTATGATGCTGAAAGCACTGACTAATCACAGCAGGCTCTCCAGTTGGCCAGCAGTCTCAACATTGCACCCTGTAGGGGGAGGAAATCCAGTTGACTGGGGATGAAAAGAAGCATGACATTTGACACATTTGTCAAGCCCATGACAAAAATGCGGCCTTTGTTCAAGTTAGCAGTTTTGCCATAGGTGTCATTGGAGCCCTAGGCATTGTTATTTTCAGGTTTAGATGGGAAAAAAATAATCCATGACTTTTGACATTTGGGATTTTTCAAGTGGGTGGGTTGATGTGCTTGTAAATAAACAGATGAATTCATTTCACTGGGAAACTTGAGAACTGCAAGCTAAACTCTGGGCTGCAAAGGAGGCTAAGGAAGAGCACCAATTAAGCAAAAAATATTGGGGTGATACAAGGGAGCAGTATAGTGTACTCTCAGAGACACCTGTTATTTTTTTAAGGGGTAGGAAGGTTTCTTTCTTACACAACATAAAATCAAAACAAAAGATATACATTCAAACAAAATTGGAGCATTAGATTGTATTTACAAATGTTGTTTATGATATAGGGCAACTACTAAGTTTGTTCATATTTGTTCGTTATCATAAAATTGCAATGGAAAAATAAAATCCACTTGCCATTTTTATTGTGTTTCCATGACAAATTCCATTTTCACCATGACTACCCTATGACTTTTCTTTAGAAAAATTCCAAGCGAAAACAAGCCTTGTATGCTTATACATTTAATACTAATCACAATCCAATGAGACTCACAGAGCTAAATCATCAATAAAACCACTTTAAACATATCTGTGTGGCTTCTACTGGAAGGCTAAAGGGGCACTGAGACCTGTTTACTGTAATTTTTTTCCACCCCAATGTACTGGAGATATAAACTCCGCACATTTGGCTTCAATAGTTTATATTTTTTCAAAACTTAATTTGGTTCTGAACTGGACAGGGGGAGTGGAGGTGCCAACATATGTGTTGAACACTGAAGCTCCCAGTGAACAGCAAGATTCCCAGATTGGACTATTGCCCTTACCATGCATAGGATCTTGACTGGCAGCAGAAATATCCACATCCGCTAGAAGAATGACTTTCTGCCCACTCACAAGGTAGCAGGCTCATTTCAGTAGAGTATAAATGGCGGCTGAAGATATTCCACTTACATATCACTGCAAGTAAAGAAAGCCTATCTTCTAGGAAAGCATTGTCACATTATCACCATATGCCTCTTTACAATGGATCATACCTATAGGTGTATCAAAATAGACACCATAGATAGTGGAGGTGAGAAAGGCACAAGATACACTGGCACTTGAAGCAGAAAAATAGGTTGTGTTTAATGGACTTCTGGGAAACCTATTAGCGCATGGTGTGACAGAGAATATTTAAATATAAATGTCAAGTCCATAGACACATTGCACACAGACAAGCTCAGACATTGCTACTGTTGGGCTAACTTATGCACAAGCAATTCAAGGTAAAGGAGTTCAGATCATAAGCACTGGACTCACTCTGAAAAGTCAGCAAATCTTCCTTTTCCCCAGCTTGGTGTTTCAGAGTCTTTTAGAGGATGCCAAGCAAAAAATGTGATTTTTACACCTTGTGGCTTTGCAGAACAACTTTATCCTGCTGATCGTGGAGTGCATGAACAAGGGGAGGTACTTAGTGTGCTGAATTTAATCACAATTATTGTCGTCATCCTCCCCACCCATTTCCTCCACCTGTTGTTGTCCCATCATACAAGTAGTCTGCAAGGTCTTTGTGGAAGAGACTGGGGTTTTTTTATTATATATGTAGAGAGTACCTAGCACAATGGGGGGCATTAGCATTTTGGAGACCCTGGAAATATTAGTATTTGATGGACCCCATCTAGGTAGCATTGAGGATTGCAACTGACCTACAAAGTGAACAATAATGGATGAGAACCACTTTCTCCATTATTTCTTAGCAGGATTTACCCCTCCTTAGTTTAGGAAAGCACTCTCTCTAATAGTCTAAGATCTAGATTAATTACTGACTTGACTGAAAGCAAATTATTTTATTTATTTTTCTGTCTCTTTCTAGGAGCTCATAGAATAATGTACAGTGCCACGCTCACTGTGTCAGAACATTAGTAAAGGCAAATAAACTAAGACTGAGGGCACTGTTCAACTGGCCGAGATGTAAAACAAAGGTTCTGACCCTTTGTGCTAATTAAACATCCCATGGCTGCTTGTGTAAATGAGAGATTGAGAGTTACATTCAAAATGTATGTGCGCTGTGATGCTTTAGGGAGTTTTTGACATTTCTCACCAAGACGATAACCACTCCTGTCAACTTTTTACAACAAAAACAGACTATTACCTTATAAGAATTATTAACTTGTTCATTATTTCCCTTTCTGTGATGAGAATTTTCAGGGTTTAGCCATCCTGGGTATTGTCTTTAGACAAAATCCAAATTGCTCAGCTGCTTCGGGGGCATTTTTCAATGAGAATAGTTCTGAATGTGTCTTTAGTTTTTTTTCTAGCCCAGCTAACTGTGTGATTATAATTTTTGTCAGGGCTTGTGATCAGCTGCAAATGCAGCAGCTAAATACTGTATTGATACAAATGTATGAGCTACTGACCCCTTAAAAATTGTGGAAGTGCTTGTTGCCACAGGGGTATTGAGCGCTAAGACATCTTTTAAACCAGCTAAACTGTGCCAGGCTACAGAGGCTGATCTGACTAATAACCTGAATTAAGTCCTGACACCTACTTCTGTTTTTGTCTAAATTCAAATGTAAATTTTAAGTTTAAACTATTAAAAATACATGACAATGATACACTAAAATTTTATCAGAATCGTGGTTACGTTTTAGAGTTATTCTAGTCACAATGAGCTTTGACCCATTTAAGACCATTTCCGAGTGAACTATCCCACTATATCCTTCTCCCATATTATTTAAATAAAAGCAGAACTCATTCTGCAGAGCTACTTAACATGGAATGAGCGTTAACACTTTAGGGTGAAATCCTGCCCCATTGACGACAATGACAAAACTCCCATTGAGTTGAATGGGGCCAGGACTGTAGCATTTGTGGTGTTGTAGCACTGTTCCCTCTGACACATTTTTGAACCTGTGACCTGTGATGTATGTAGCTATGATTCTTTGTTTTATGGTCGGTGGTACAGTTCTGCACATTTAACCCCCCTCCGTGGTCTGCTCCAAGAATGCTCACTCAAGTCTCAGGCCTCTAGAGCTGTGTCTATCCTGCAATTAAAAACCGTGGCTGGCCCATACCAGCTGACTTAGGCTCATGGGGCTTGGGCTTGCAGGGCTAGTTAATTGTGGAGTAGAGTTTCAGGTTCAGGCTCGGACTGCTGCCCGAGCTCTAGGACCATGCAAGATGGGAAGGTCCCAGAACAAATATACTGCAATTAAACTGCCACTTAGACCAAGTCCTGTGAGCCTGAGTCAGCTCTCACAGGCCATCCGTGAGTGTCTAATTGCAGTGTAGACATACCTCTATCTATCACCGCTCTTCAGCTCCCATGCAATTCACTCAGTGGCGGATTAATAATTTTGCCGCCCCTAGGCCGGGAAATAATTGCCGCCCTGTCCTTGCCCCGACTCCGCCCTTTTCCTGCCCCCATTCCAACCCCCTCCCCAAAGTCCCTGGCCCAACTCCGCCCCCTCCCTTCCCCTATTGGATCGCTTCCCCAAATCCCCGCCCCTGGCCCCGCCTCTTCCCCCAGCATGTGGCGTTCCCCCTCTTCCCCCCTCCCTCCCTGCCCCAC